TTTTCTTCATAAGTATGTGTACTTCGAACATGTCTGCCGACTGTCTTTTGTGCCATGTATTATCAGTGAGACTGCGACTTAAAGAAGGAGGTTCTAGAAGTGCGCACTTCAACCGCTCTCACCGGGGAAGAAGATACACAGCTTAAAGCTTCAGCGGTCGCGTGCCGAGCAAGATGCTATCCGATGCAGGACGCGTTCGACGACTTTCTAGCGTTTCTTTTACAGCTGAGCTATTAAAAGCTAGTTTCCCCAGGATCGTGTCCCCCGCAAAGAAATGAAGACACCGAACTCTGGGCACCTGGCGCCATCTATCAGCGACGGCGGTAAGCCACGTATCTGGTTGGCGCCGTCGCTCATAGGTGGCGGCACCATTTCCACTCTGGCTTGCCAACTTGCGGCTAACCATTACTTTCCATTGCACAGCCCCGCCGGTCTTCCTTCTTCACCAGAGTGAAAAGTCTATAAGTTTACACCATCCTTTTTTTTTCTTTTTTTTTCAGTCGGCGAGTTATTTTTTATGCATATGTTTCGCTCATGATGGGAAAAGACCCTTCCGAACGTGACGAAGAGCTTACCAGGGGGTGCCGTGTGTATGCGAGCGTGTTTTCGGACCGGGAGAGAACTGATTTGGTGAAAACCCGTTCACGCTCAGATGCGCCTCCACGTCTTCCCTGAGGCCACCTTGCGTAAGCACGCACGGATGCACGAGTTTTTTTTGTTGGTCAGCTGACGCGAGCATCGAAAAGTGTGTGGGACGGCAGCCGGTTCGTTCTATATGCTCCAAATGGATGGTTCCAGCGCTATAGATTGACACGATGCTCCTGCGAGGCTTGGGAATGTGATTATTACCTTCCGTGACCTACAAAAGACAAAACAAAACAAAAACCGTTTGCTTTTATACGACACATACACTATAGAACGATTCGAAAGACCGATGCGATGAAAAATTTGAAAATGAAATGGTTTTATCGCGGAATTTTACAATTTTGAGAGGTTCAACACAACCTCCTCTTGTCGTACGCATAAAACACGCAACATAATTTCGGTGCTGTACGCCCCCTCTATTTATTGTTTAAATTTCTCCTCTGCACAACGTACTGCGGCGAGGGACGCCGCTGCGTTTCCTCCGTTCCCTCAAACCACGATAACGCTTTCGGGCTCTGCGACGGACTTCAAAATTAAGATATAATTATTTTGTTCCTCTGTCGCTGTAGAGTCTGATGCTTCATTGACTCGAAGCTTTCCATTCACAGGTCACACGTTCTGAAATACTCGCGCACAAGAGAGAACATATACGTACATTAGAATTACGGAAGTTATTACATTTTAGCGACAGCACACCCAAATCGTATAACACCCACAAAAGCGAGCAACATTTGGAAGTAAGAAATACAGCCTCCAATAGGAACATATGTGGCGCCGTTTCGCTATCTTCGCTTTCCTAAAGTGCACAGAACATATTATCACTAGCGTTGGGCTTATAGCACGCCCTGCAGAAAAGCGGCGTTCAATATTTATTTAAAACAGTTAAGCTGCTACGTTCGTAACTTCCTTATTGGAAGTTTTGGATTTCCTACAACTTCTAGGTATCAACATATGTTAATTCTATTTCCGCTCCTTTAAAAAAAGACACACCTCTGCAAAAAATTCTGTCAAGTGCGTCGAATATGACACGTATGTCATAAAACAGTATTAAAAGAAATATATCGCAAACTTTACGTCGGGAGGCATATTCTTAGCTACGAGTGATTTTGATATTTCAGCACGTCGATTCGAAGTAGATGCATGTTTTGGAATTGCTCCTAAAACGTTTTTAACGTTCAAAAAGTATTCTTTAAGTGCCTGGATTGTACGCATTTTCAAGAAATTGAACACCCCCCCCCCCCCCCCCCCCCCTCACTTTCTCCCCAAAGTATTTTTTCGGGTAATATATAATACGCCATAAGACTCATTTTCAATGAGAAGCAATTCGGAAACATCCCTCTATTTAAACACGTTAACATTAAAAAAAAAATAAAAAAAAGCACGTTAAGGTGCGCAAAATAAGCCTCGCAGCTAAATATTCGCGGAACATTTTTTAGTAGAGGAATGTTTATATTGCGACATATATGTTCTCTTTCCAGGCCGTTCAAAATATTTTTTTTTCATTGGGTGTATTTTAAAAACAAAAACATCGAAAGATGTTTATAAATCTCTGTAATGCGAAATTACAGCGCAGCTCTTGAGGTATTTTGATTTTACGATATACCGTACAAAAGAATTTGAGGAAGAAATATCTATATGATACAGATACAGACTTCGTACTCCTACGTACATAATGTATATATATATATATATATATATATATATATATATATATATATATATATATATATATATATATATATATATACATATATATTATTTCTTATGGCATTATTTATGAAACGAGGGGAGGGTACGGAGGTTTCTCCTCCTCCTCTCCCCCTCCTGTTCCTCCTCCTCCATACGCTCCCCTTTTCCCAGTTTCCCTTCTAAATTTAACTGGAAAACTGACACCACGTGACCTCAACACCCATTCAGTTTCCTCGCTAAAGTCAGCTGGGAAAAGGACGTAACCTTACTTCGTGTCACGTCACCTATGAACAAAGTCAGTTTCTCCGCTAGATTTAGGGGAAAAATTTACGCACGTGACCTCTACACCAATTCAATTCTCCCGCTAAATTTAGGGGGAAACAATTGGTATGGAGGTTATGTGACGTCAGTTTTACCGCTAGCTTTAGCGGGAAAACTAAATGCGCAGTGTTGCATTATGGTGCGTCACAGACCTTCACACCAATTCAGTTTCATCGCTAAATTAAGTGGGGAAATGAATTGGGGTATAGGTGTGGGACGTCCCATAATGCAACGCGAGCGGTTACGCCGACGCCGCGAAACACGGAACCGAGCGCCTCAGAGCTGTGCTCTAAAAAGATGTCCGTGAATTTAGTCATTCTGGAATCGCTCGTCGCTACACGGTACTCCCACAGATATGCAACTGTAAGCAAAAATGGGACGTGAAAGCAGTCATAACTAGCACGTATAACCAAAGTAAACGGAGGCCCGGAAAGAAGCAGATAACTACCATGTTCCAGAGGGACCGGACTAAAGCTTCGTACTCCGGAGCCCTTAATATAGACGAACACAAAATCCGCGTTATTAGAGCTGCGTTGCTCCATGGCTAATGAGCTGATAGATTAATCTGATCCCGAAGACCAAGCTGCTTAAGTGGGAGCGGGAAACTAGGTCGAATGTAGAAAGCGGAGGTTTTAGTATCTTCTATTTTTAGTTATGTCCCGGCGTTGGACTCCCCGAAAGTTAATGGGTCTTTTTCGTGTAAAGACGACTCAAAGCGGCAAGTGCTCCAACTGCATAGGCGTTCGGTAGAGGAGTTGTGCCAGCACTCCTCTCCTTCGCGATTCATCCGAGTTGTGGAGGAGCCAGGAAAGGTGGCGCAACCCACCATCCGGACGCCAACTGCAGTGCGAGTTTTCGCCGCTGCATGAGGAGGGGCTGTGCGCGCGCAGAAGGCTTTTTCAAAAAGTTCCATGGCTGCAGACAAACGAGTAGTCGTTGTGTTCGGGGCGTTTCGTGAACCTCAACGGCACCGGTTTATCTTCGGTGACAAACCGTGTTTAACCAAGTGTGCCAAGCGTCGGGAAACCTCCTTTCTGATTGGACTACGCTGTCGGAGTGCCTTCACTCAAGAATTCACAGCGAAACGTTCCTTCCTCGACAGCCCTCGGCAAAACAATATCTGAGTAATGTACAAAACTGCGCAGAATGAAATTAGCAATCTGATTAAAGGAGACTTTATATTCCCGAGACCTAATATTTCTGATCTGTTCACCGACGCTTAAAAGTTTGGGCTATGGTCCGAAGGATTCCAGAAGCAAACAGCGTTGCTGAGTAACTCTAGTTACGATTGCCACAATCGCCAAAAACACCTTTATCCTCTCTTCCTGTGTTAATTGGCCTGTCTTTTTGTTTCCTTTCCCCATTCCTCAATCTACGCGTGTGCATTTTTTCTTAATAATCTTTTTCTCACGAAGGTGGGTATTATGAGCAAGAACATCCTTTCCATTTTTCATCTCACTATCGTTCCCCCTTCTTCTATTCCCCTCCCCAAAAATAGTGACACAAACTTTTGCGTGGAAAGAAGATACTACGTAAGGCGACACACACACACACACACACACACACACACACACACACACACACACACACACACACACACACACACACACACACGCACGCGCGCGCGCGCACACACGCACACACGCACACACACACACACACACACACACACACACACACACATACACACACACACACACACACCTTGGGTAAACAAATATAAGTGAAGCGACATCGTGCAATAGGCAGAATCCACTCTACCGGTACTTTGAAGGGTATAGAACTTAGATTGACAGACATTTGCTTTATTCCTGTAGTACTACAAAGGACTCCCTATCTTATTTCAGATTTATATAAGTTTTGGAGGTCCTCTGCCTGTGTGATGTGACGTGATAAGGATTTTGTACTTTTTAACGAAGACAAAGCTTACATATTTTGAAGACAACAATAGGAACTGTGAAACTTTAATGCAACACTTCCCAGGGTGCCTGAAGTTGCAATTGGAGCAGCAATGTGTAAAAAAAATTTGATAATCCTAATAATTTCTGCGCCGTTTTCACGACGAGTGGTTACTTTCTCTATGGTACTCTAAACTCGAGTCAAATAGTACTATCCTGATATTGCCTATTGTCACCGTTCTAACATAAACGATTTTGCAAAAGAACTTTGCTTCAAGTTCAGCAAGAGTAAGAACGGGTGCCGCAGTAAATCTTCGGTTCCGTTTTTGTGTTTTTACGAGTAACAAGTGACATCCTTTTTTTTTTGCTTTTGTTTTCAGTGATAGTTTTCAGGCGTCATGAAATTGTATCGTTCATTTACAAAAGTTCGCTTTTTGTTTGTTTCAGAGAGCCTGACTGATGTGTTACGACAAAAAGCCAACCTGACCATCGTGGCTGCGGGAGTCGCCGGCGAGGTGAGTCTGCATCATCTCTGCTCTCTCCCCGGCATGTAGACACTTCCAGGCCGCCCACCAACAGGACTCACCTCTTCTCCGCATACCTTCCGAAGATGTCTGACTGTCTGCATCTACGCTGTCAATACCGGTCTCAAAAGCGAGGCTACAATGACAATAGACGAAACTCGACGCACATTCGGCCATCTTTATAACGACGACTTGCACCGACGTCACATAAGCGGTCGTTGGGGTGATCTTGCCGTTGAGCACGTATACCATCTGCGGTGCGCATTTCGAACCACCCAGCTTGTTTTTTTTTTAACAAAAACAGGTTAAGGATGACCACCAGCATGGTGCAACGCCGACAAGTGCAAGCCATGCCCAGGATTAGAAATGAAAAATTAAACCCAGTTTTTCGGGACGCAACGATAAACTATGCATTGTAGAAAGCTGAACCTTCATGAGAATGTCACGCTAGAGAGACGACAATAAAATGCGAACGTTTGAGCGTATGACGTTATCTGCATCAAAAGATACAAAAGAAAAACAAAGTTATCTATGAGCTCATGTTTCCTTGCGACATAAAAACCGCCAGTAACAACAATATGAGCCGACGTCCACCTAAGTCTAATTTGCATCGTACCGATATTTCAGATTGAGGGCACCGGTAGCATTTATTTCGGTTAAAATCTTGCCAGTTAGAAGGACAATATTGTTTTCTTTCTAGTTGAAAAATTTTCAGCACTAACATAATATAAATTTTAAAAAATCAACGACGTATTTAAGAAGAAAGAAAAAAAACACAATTTAATTTTTCAATTTGATGAATGTTAGGCTTAGGCTAACATTGGCGCAAGGAGTATTCTTGTTATTGTATTGCATCTTTTGACCCAGGCAATGTCGCGCGCTCAAACTTTCGCATTCTATGACCACGACTAGCGTCACATTCCCATAGAGCTTCTTCAGCTTTCTGCGAGACGTGCTTTATTTATGCAGGCAGAAGAACAAGGTTTCGTTTTTTCGATCACACGCTGGGGGGGGCATAACGTTTTCATCATGGGGATAATAATTCATTATTAATTCCCTTTTATTACCCATTCTGGTTGGTACCCGAATGGGTAATAAATGGCGTGTGTTTGCTTACAAAAAAACAAACAAAAACGTATGACCTCGCAAATCTAGGGGTATGGCGCATGCAATAACAACGTGATTGAATAGGAGAAAAGCACGGGGTACATCATCCAAAGCATATTACAATAACTTTACTTAAAACCCTGAACAATGTCTCGTTCTTATGAGTCTGGGAATGCACGGAATGAAATACTGCCTTCTTTTTTTCAAACCAAAGGAAGAATTCGACGATGGCGTTGGTCCACTTAATAGGAAAATGAAATATTACACGACAGGCACCACGGTGCCGCTCCGGCTCTACAGGGGTGTTGGTCATTTACAACCTTGCAGTAAGCTTCATTGTCAAATGCGATAAAAAATATATATTCCAAGTTATGCATCTTACACACTATTATATGGGTTGTCAAAAAAAAATCATGTAAAAGTACTAAAACTCACCCGTGCGAGAACTTTTGTTTCTCATAAATGTTTTAGCATCTTTACTGGAGGACGCAACACACTTTATACTTCGAATCTGGTACGATGTTCAGAAAACGACAATTATTCATGGTTTAGCTTTCAGACTATTCTAAGACAAGTAGTCCTCAACACAATTTGTATTTCCTATTTTTAATAAAAGCATGGTAATGGTTACTTTCAAAAATGTGATTGCCGACTGGTGTATCGCATCGAATCTTGTCTTTTAGCAAAACGTTGTTTTCCAAGGACAGGAGGTACCGATCTATCATTTACGTCGAGAAAATGTACCTATGTGTGCTCACTAATTGTGCCTAAAATAAGAAAAAGTGTGTAAACGTCTAAAAAAATATCCCTTCGCTGCAAAAGGAACGCACTGAATTAAAAACAAATATATTAATAACATCGAGGTTAGGATAGGGTTTATATTTGAGGCGTTGCATTACGTGAATCCCACTGGTCGCTATAAAAGTGTACATAAATCTTCTAATAATTTAGACTCCCCCAGAGCCGGACATTCCTAGCAAACGGGAAGTATAGCAAAAAAAAAAAAAAAATAGCCTGAATGGCGACCTAAATCTAGGTGTTGTCCGGAACCATGGGCTCTGCGTGATAATAATACATTATTGAGTTTAAGTCAATAGGAATATTAAGTGCCATTATGTGTCTATAAGTTAACTAAGCTTTTTGAGGTAACTTGTGCAAGGAAGATAACATTACTTAATTTTTTTATATTAAGCACTGCAGAAAGTGAGCTACAAATTATACCAGGATATGGCAAAACACTGAACACCATCAAAAATATTACTACCCCCCGAAAGATGGAAATATAGTGGCAAACACTTGGTAAACACGGTTGAATTTTTTTTCTTCGGGATATGAGCTGAAACATAATCAGAAAGCACAATCCCAAAACAAACTGGCTAAAATGTGGATTCCACATCCTAATCCATATTGGAGTCCCCCCCATCGGTTTTTTGACCTAATTATAGCATAGCTCTTCTACTGCTGGCGTACGTTCTGAGGAAGTCCAGCTAGGAACTAGAATGAACTGGGAAACTCAGCTACGGCTCCAGCTTCGTTTGACATTGAACTGGACCACACTGTCTGCTAGAAGCCTCCCTTTGTCCGGACAGCCTACCACGCAATCCCCATCCCCGTGCGTCGCTAAGCTTAGCCGCAAGGACACGTGACACGCTTCCCGCATAGGGATTCGCTAAGTAGATTCGTAGCATCACTCGTGGTCCGTTTTGGGAACGGGGTCGACATACCATCCCCGAAACAGGTTCAGTTGGCAAGGGCAGTGAGGTCGTCGCGGTTCGGGAAGCATTGTAGGAGATTACCGGCGCGATAAAGGTAAATAATTACCGAGCCACTCCGTGCATGGCGAGGCCATGGGAACAAACGAAAGGCAGTCCGGGACTTGGGGCGGAGAGGGCGGCCGAACGGGAAGAAAGGAAGCGGGGCTAGGGATGGGCGCTGCTCTGGCTCCTTCCCGCCGGGTATTAATCGATGAGGAAGGCACCGAGGAAGGAGGCCCTGGCGTGCTGCTACTTTACCGACGTTCAGACTTGCAGGTTCATTGCGCTGCCGGTGTCTGGATTTCTTTTTTTTTTTATTGTTTTTTTTTATGCGTTGCAACTTACTTCCTCATTAGGTTGGTCGCTTTGTTTCGGAATGAGTCTACGCTCGTTTGCAGCTCAAGAACCGCACTGAGCATGTTTAAGCTCCGTTGTGGAGCGTCACTACTTTTTTAATGTGGTGAATTAAGATGTTTATTGGTGGTGTATTCCCAGCTGAGGTATTTGTTATGGTGTCGATACGGATACGTTTGAGTTCGCGAAAAGCGTCTTGTCCTTTGACAATCGGTTTGTGTGGGAACTACTTATCCTAAAGTTTGGAGTATTCGCAAAACAGAGTGTTTAGTTCACCTAAGGTTGCGCGTTCTCAAAATATGCTTATTTCATCCCGATCTTGGGTCACGACAATAAACAACAATGAGCTTTCTGACAACAGGAGTGCCGCAGGTTTACAAGCATGATTTTATGAGTTATGTTGGGCCCGCTTTGGACAGGGCAGTGTTCCGAGCAATTTTAGGATTGCTGGCGAGTTGCTGTCTATATGCTGCAGCGCTGCAACACGGATTTGGAACACGGGTTTGGTTCCGGATTCAAAAAGGCAAGTGGCGCAAAGAACTTGTAGAGGGCATTTGAAGAGGTCGAATGATACTTAAATCCGCGGGTTCAACTGCCTTCTGATTTGCTATGGATCGTTTCTGCGGCGAAAGGGTTCATGAAGCGTTGTTAGTATTCTGAACGTCACACAAGTTAGAAAACCCCGTCATTAACGCGTAACTTGGTGTCTAAAGGATGCAAAAAAAAAAAAAAAAAAAAAGAGAACGGAATTTTTTATGATGATGATTATGACAAAACGAAGCAGCTCTATACCTGTTTTCACCTAAAGAACCGAAGTAAAACAAGTCCGGCTCCTCGCGGAACATTACTAATTTCCCCCTTTATGTCGATAATGAAGACATATGGAGGTGAATTTTAGATTAGATATATGTTATCTTATCAAGACGTACAGAATCCAAACGCCAAAAGCATCGCTTTTTCCTGCGACAACCGAATCTCGTAAGGACTATCTCGCGCCACGTAGGAACAATGCGCAAAACATCCTTTTTTGTTGAAGTGAAAACAGGTATGGATTCAACGGTTGCTGCGTGCGAACGCGGAACATCCGCGTTTCTGGAGTTTCGACATCAAGGGACACGCATCTAGGACAGTAAGTGGCGAACCTAAACGGGCCGTTGCTGAAAGAGGGGAAAAACAATTCTGTTTTTCTGCGCTTATCAGCGGCAATGGGATAAAAGCATATTCTAATAACGTCAAAGGTGACCTTACCGGTTTTGAAATGTTAATTTAACCGGAAATATTCATTGCAGACACCTCTGGAGAAGGGCAATCGTCATCTTTGCAAAACAGCTTATAGTGAGTGCGGGTCCATGTAAAATAAAAGGAGGCAACGGTGGTCTTTTTAGTTATCGTATTTAATAAAATACGAAATTGACACACTCCTTAATCGTGAGGAACTGAAAACAAAATACGTAAAGAGCCGCATTTCTCAGGGTACGGCGTGCGCTAGAGCTGAGATAAAAACAAATGTAACGCATCTCCGCTCCGGGTCATCTCAATATTACAACCCCGTATTCAAAACCAATTCCAAGTAACAAATTAAAAAAAAAGAAAAATATAAACACCCTTAATCTAAAAAGGAAAAAAAAACAAGAGCAAGACGGACGTTGGTAATACTCCTTCCAACCCCAAACCTCCTTTCCCCACCGTATAAAAACGTGCTATACCTTCGCGGCGACCGTGTCTCCCGAGAAAACGGGCCGTCTCATGGCAGATAAAGTAAAAATATATATATAT